AAAATACACATGCAATCCAGTCAAGCATTCCTATTTTCATCAAAGAGCTCAAAAATACCAGTTTTTCATACATGCAACCTCAAACAAGGATAGATCACCAAATTTTCACCAAACCCCGGAAAACCCCGAAACCCCATCTTCAGCCAAAAACGCAACAAATTACTAACTTCCCTTACCTCGATGCAAGGATTCCGAGCTCCGGGAAGAAGGAACGGAGAAGGAGATGAAAAACGAGCTTGAATGGGAAAAACGAGAAATGGAGGAGAAGAGAAGCTCCACGCCCACAGCTAGCTCCAAACACCACTAAACAACACCTATGCTCACCCAAGAAGGAAAAATCAGCAAGTGAGTAGGAAGAGTTTGAAGAAGAAAGAGTGAATGAGAGAGTGGGAATGAAAGTGAGAGTTGAATGGGAGAGAAGAGAGTCACGGTTCTCACAGGCAACACCAAAAACACACGTAACCATCCTAACATCTAAATTCAACCAATCAACCCAAGATCACCATTAAAGGTTACTCTTTTACAACAAATTAAATTCATATATGTCACCAATTCAAACATGCAATTGATGAATTCATACCATAACAACAAACATTTAACGTCAAATGATTCAAATCACAAAATTTTCTTTATCTCTTGAAGAACCAAATCAAGAAAAGGAAGAGAAAATCACTTTGTACGATTTCGACTATGAAATCTTGAGTTCCTCAAGCTTATATTTCAACCTAGTTACATGAGATCAACTACAAGAAATAGAAAATGAAGATTTTTAAAAAATAAGAGAAAGAAAAATTTTAGATTTTTAGAGAGCTTTTCACCAACTTTTCTCTAAAAGTTTTTTGAAAACATAAATTATGAGGTTCGAAACTTAAAAAAAATAAAATTTATACCTTCCTTATTTTAGCTATCTAAAAATCAACTTATTCTTAGAGTCTCTTAATTTAAAGTTCTCAACAACAACTAACATTTAAACTGCAAAAAATTATAATTAACAAAATAATTATAAAATCAACGGTATTATAATAATTACATTATTAAAGAAAAATAACTTCAAGTATAAACAAACTATATATAATAGAATTACTAGTAAGTTTTTAAAGGTGAACATGCATGGAAGCAAAGTAGCATTTGGTTTTGATAACTCTTCGAAGCGGTCCTGTTTTACCTGGAAAGTTAGAATCTACTTCGCATATTTAGGCATCTGACATGTTGACTTTAGCAAGTAAACTGAGACAAGTTGCAGCACGGTCCAAATATTCTGCAAATGGGAAGTGGCCAATTAACAAAGTGAAGAGCTTTCACAATTTACATACTCAAATCCCATATTTTTTGTGTAAGAAAAATTATAAACATCATTCACGTTGGATACTAAATGTGAAATCTCTACGAATGAAAATTTGACTTCTTTCAAAACCTTAAATCGTTATATTACTATTGTATATCTGTATCCTTCATTACATTTATTATTTATTTTCTTTTATTCTTATCTCTCCTCTTTATCTATCCTTCATTTTAGTAGGATGGTAGCGCTATGTTTTTTGGATTTTGCCGCTGACTAGTGACTATCACTTTTGATTTTGAAATTAATTTTTATATTTTATATATATATCGATTCATTAATTTGTATTTTATTTCATCTGTTTATAAGAGGTCGGAAAAAGATAACAGCATTATTTTTTGTCCACCTCCACAATGTCTGAAATCATATTGTAACCAAAAAAACATATTGGACCTCGATTAATCTGGATAAAATACAATAAAATAGAAATAATAACATAAAAACATTATTTTTAATGTAAAATAAAAAATAAAATGTTCTTAGTTCTCAACAAATTTTATCTTTTATAAATTTTTAACAGGTTTTTAGTCTATATATATTTACCATATAATCTAATTTTAATCCCTCATAAGGTTTTTTTGTTTTTGACAAAAGTCCCTCATCATAAGGCATTAAAATCACATGTTTGTATTAGAATATATTTTGCTCATAAAAGAATTAATGTGTTTGGTAAGTCTAGCTTTGTAAGCTGTTTTAACTAGCTTGTTCGTTAGTTTGAACTCATAATAATAATATTGTAAATGGAGTATCCATCTCTATCTTGAAAGCAACCTGCACTTGATGCTTTCTGGCAATGGACGAATAATGTAGGTTGTTTCCTTTGGAGGAGGGAGAGTGACAATGTCACTATTCAGTATCAAGATTGCAGTGGCCACACTATACCTATCTTGTGCAACCTCTTGCACGCACAATAATCCAATATATCGATGCATTTCAAATATGCTTCTCAAAGCAAGGATCGTAAATTTTAGTATCAATTATACATATTCTGTTTCCTTAATTTATTCCACAACTTCCATACTTGAAAATATTAAAAACCAATTTATAAGATGATTTTTATTTTATAAGTTGATTTTATAAATTTATATTAATCTCAAACTCATATTTTGAAATAATATTAGACTTATCTTAAATTCGATAAAAGAGTTATTCATTGTTTATATACACACTAATCCCATTATTACTAAGTATTAGTGTGATTGATGGATTAAAAAAACTTAAATCTTATTTATTTACATCATTAAAAGAATCTTTCAATATTTATGCACAAATCTAATTTAATAATATTGAATTAAGGATGTGGTGAGAAAAAATAAATTTTATATTAATGTGTGAGACAACTCTTATTTTATAAATTAATTTTACGATATTAAATTAAACCTAAGCCTATTTTATAACAGAAATCAATAAGACAGTTGTGCCAACAAATTAGAATGCGAGAGAAATTTAGTGGCAACATTAACAACAAACTATAGATGGAGTTTATAAAATAATACGATCTTATAAACTCATGTTATATGTTCATTGAAGGCAGACTGGTCGGTGAACCTCGCACATTCGTAGGATTAAGGTTTTCACTTTTCACGGATTTCATTCCCCTCTTCAGGTTGTATGCTTTTATTATGTCAGGATGTAGTGGAGGTGTATTTTTGCTCGTGGTATATATTAGCTTAGTGGCTCTTGGGTCCCAAAAACATTATTTTTTCTTGCTCTCTTCCATGTGCACTAACCACCCATTTTGTGGTGACGCTGAAGTGTCACAAAATTATGATGGCTTATTGAATCAACATTCAGCCAGGGTTGATTTAGAGGGTATTTGAGGAGAGGATCGATGGATTAGAGGTTTTTTTTATAAAAGTATACATAAATCAATTACAAATTTTATTTTACTTTTTGCCTATTTTCTTTTTATCAAATACACTTTTCACCCCATTTCCTCTCTTTCCCATCATTATCATCCCCTCCCAATGCACACCCTGAACATAGTTCTACTTCCACTACCAAACACAAAGAAGTGAAGAACACACCATGATAGTGGATTTCACAAGTCTGATTCTTGCTCTCATCATACTTTGCTGCTTTGCTCAGTACTGCAGTTCATCCAACGATACCATCACAGCAGACCAATTCATCAGAGACCCTCACACTCTGACCTCAGCTAACAGTTTCTTCAAGTTAGGATTCTTCAGCCCTCAAAATTCGTCAAATCGCTACGTGGGAATCTGGTATCTCTCGGACGCATTTGTGTTTCAGAATTTGACTTTATAGTCTTCATAAAAGTTGTAGCCTTGGATGTTATCTTTCCAATGGCACTGGAATCACTCAAAAAGGAGTTTTAGAACTCCAGATATGACCGTTTTAGTGAAGAGGGGTCAGGCTGCCAGCTTTACCAATAGCTGTTGCGGTTTTTAGAATATTTAACAAGGTAGATGAATGAATTAAGACTTGGTGTCTTCATGAGACTTGTAGGAAATTTGATTATCTTTCATATGAGATAAGGATGAGCATGGTAGGAGTAGTATAACTCATGATGTGCTATTTTCTGTGAAGGTTGCCATTTCCCATTTAGTGATTTGGTTAAGTTCAAAGTTGTTTTAGGTGCTTAGGTTGATTGGTGTTGTTTGCGTGGGTAATTTGACATGATAGACGAGTTGTAAACAAGATGGATAAGCCGTAGTAGATGGGTTGGATCGGATTCTGACCGGGACGGTACAATACCGTTATTTATTTATAAATTATGTATAAAAATTATTATTTTTTATGAATAAATAATCAAATCATTATTATTATTAGTTGATGGTGAGCGCATAATCATTATTTGTTGCATAAATTATTAATAATATAAAACTTTAAATAAAATTAGTGCACAATGCAGTCTAACCTAAGTCAACAACTGCGGCTTCTTAAACATTATATTATGGAGGCGATTAGTTGGCAAATAAAAACTCAGATTAGTGCTTCTTAATAAGTATTTTATGCCGCAAAAGCAGTAGGGCAAAAAATAAATTTGGTTGACTTGTCCTTTTGTTTAGGGTGAAGTTGACTTCCACGGTTTCGATTTGGACAACTTGGCCGTCAACAAAATTAAATAAACCAGACAACTTCCCTCTCATTAGCTCAATGGAAGCACTCTCACTCAACTAATGACAAAACTTTTTAGATTTTTCAATTCAAATTAAAATTTTAGCTCCTTCAATTTTAATTATAAAAATATTTAACTTAACTAAATTTTGTTATAAGAAGAGAAATCCTTTTTTTTCTTTTCAAAAATAAGATTATTTCACTCAGAAATTCATATTTTACATCGTTAAATTAAATTTAATATATAAATTAAGTTTGTAAATTATTTTAAAAAATCTTTTTCATTAATTCAAATTAATGTATAATAATTATTTATCAATTTGAATTAATGATAAAAAATATTAAATAATTTTTATTTTTTTTTAAATTTTATAAACTTAATTTATATGTTAATTTTTTTTAATTTAATAATTAAATTATTAAAATTTTATATAAAATATAAATTATTAAGTAAAAGTAAAATAAAGTTAACTCTCTAGAGTAAGTGGCTTTGTCTTTGTGGGAGATGAAAATTCCAAGTAATGATGGTAACAGTATTGTTGGAATATGATTTAGCTCTCTATTCAACAACAACGCGAAGTCTAACAGGGATATTGATTGAATAACGAGATAGACATAAACCTCGTTAACTGCCATAGCATGTCTCAAGAAGACACCACACTGAACAAATACTAAATTCGGAGCTATGCACACAAAGTGTTGAAAACAACATTATGGGATTCCGAAGTCACACATGTTTGCTAAATGCTTTGCTCGTCATTTTCCTGGGTTTGACCTCAGCCAGGGACACCCTCACATCTTCTCAATCCATCACAGACTCACAGACACTAACCTCAAACGACACCATCTTCAAACTCGGTTTCTTCAGCCCCCAGAATTCAACGCACCGCTACTTAGGAATCTGGTACCTCTCTGACTCCAACGTTGTATGGATAGCCAACAGAGATCAACCACTTGTAGATTCTTCCGGGGTTTTCAAAATCTCCAAAGACGGTAACCTCGTACTAGTTGATGCAAAAAACAAGGTTTTTTGGTCCTCAAACGTGTCCAACACTGCAACAACAACCACTTCAACTGTTCAACTCCAACGTTCAGGGAATCTAGTGCTGAAAGATGACTCCACGGGACAAAACTTATGGGAGAGTTTCAAGCATCCTTGTGATGCAGCAGTGCCAACCATGAGGATCAGTGCTAACAGAATCACGGGTGAGAAAATACGTTTTGTGTCTAGGAAAACCGCTTCGGATCCTTCTAGTGGATACTTCTCTGCTTCACTTGAACGTTTGGATGCCCCAGAGGTGTTTTTTTGGGTTAATGGGACTCATCCTTATTGGAGAACTGGTCCTTGGAATGGTAGGATCTTCATTGGCACACCCCTGATGTCAACAGGGTATTTGTATGGATGGAATGTGGGGTATGAAGGGAAAGAAACTGTTTATCTAACTTATAGTTTTGCTGATCCTTCTGCGTTTGGAATCCTCACCTTGACTCCACAAGGAAAGCTTAAATTGGTGAGGTATTATAACAATAAGCAAGTGTTGACTATGGATTTGGGAATTTCTGATTGTGATGTTTATGGCACGTGTGGGGCGTTTGGAACCTGTAATACTGAGAGCTCACCTATATGTAGTTGTTTGAATGGATATGAGCCCAGGAATGAAGAGGAGTGGAGTAGGCGAAATTGGACTAGTGGGTGTGTGAGGAAGGTGGCACTCAAGTGTGAGAGGTTGCGAAATGGGAGTGAAAGTGAAGGTGGACAGGAAGATAAATTTTTGAAACTTGGAACTATGAAAGTTCCAGATTTTGCACATAGGTTGGATGTTGAGGAAGGGCAATGTGGAACACAGTGCTTGCAGAATTGCTCTTGTTTGGCGTATGCATATGATGCTGGCATTGGCTGCTTGTATTGGAGTGAAGACTTAATTGACTTGCAAAAGTTTTCAACTGCAGGAGTTGATCTCTACATCCGTCTTGCCCATTCAGAATTTCAAGCCAGTATGGTGTTTTTTTTGTCCTTGTTATCTCTAACTTTTAGAAGTTAGAATCTATTCTTACACTTTTGTTTAAAAATTTTGTAGGTACTGCACAAGGGCATACTAATAAAAGAGGCAAAAGGTTAATCATTGGAATTGCTGTGGCAACTGCTGGAACAATTATCTTGGTCATCTGTGCTTATCTAGCCATTCGCACTTTTCACTTGGGGAAGGGCACTGCTAAACATTCGGGTAATCAAGCCTTAATGGAATTTTGAAAACTTATTAAGAAGAATAAGTAGCGCTTATTTTCGTCATATGTGATTCTAACTTTGATGCCAACCGCTTAATACAAACAATTTAGAACAACGTTGAATGCAGAAGCTTCAAGACTGTAGATTATTGGTATATAATTGTTGATATCCCACAGTGTAAGACAAAATGGAAATTATCCGTTTGATTATTCAAAGACAACATGATACAAATGGTCTTTATTGTATTAACAATTTAGCATGACATCTTTTCTGGCATAAAAGGCATTTTGGAAAGAATTCATTATCTAATTTAATTGGAATGAGTATGATGAATATTAAACTATACTCATTAAATGAAGGCTGTGTAAGCACTAATATATTATAAAAGGTTGCTCCATTTGTGGTATTTGATATGATTTCATATAAATTAGAGATGGGAAGAACGAAGAACAGTTGGTATCTTATTCTTTCCAAATATACTAATTCGTTTGGAACATATCCAGATAATCAAAGAGTGAGTGACGTCCAGAAACCAGTTAAACTGGATGAGCTACCACTATTTGATTTTGAAGTCGTTGCTAATGCTACAAACGACTTTCACTTGGGTAATACGCTTGGAAAGGGAGGTTTTGGTCCGGTGTACAAGGTATTAGCCTAGTCACATTCGTATCACATATTTCTAAAACTTCCAATTTATTTTTGTTCTACTTCTGTTAGGGACTATTGCCAGATGGTCAAGAAATTGCGGTGAAAAGACTCTCCAGAGCATCTGGGCAAGGTGTAGAAGAATTTATGAATGAAGTTGTAGTGATTTCTAAACTTCAACATCGCAATCTTGTAAAACTTCTTGGCTGCTGTATTGAAGGAGATGAGAAAATGCTCATCTATGAGTTCATGCCAAATAAAAGTTTGGATGCATTCATCTTTGGTCAGTTTGTATTTCACCTTCTAAACATTGGTGTCACTCAACATTAGTAAAATGAAATATGAACAATTTATTTTGGCTAATGCTTTTTTCCTTTTCAGATCCACTCCGGCGGAATCTTCTAGACTGGACAAAGCGTTTTAATATAATTGAAGGAGTTGCAAGGGGCTTACTCTATCTTCATAGAGATTCTAGATTAAAAATTATACATAGAGATTTGAAGGCAAGTAATATCTTGTTAGATGTAGAGATGAATCCAAAAATATCAGACTTTGGTTTAGCTAGAATATATAAAGGAGAAGATGAAGTTAATACCAAAAGGGTTGTTGGCACATAGTAAGTATGTGTTATTTATTTTACATTATATTTTTAACACATTGTTTGTTTTGAGAATTAACTTTTATGTTGTTTTCTAAATTTAAATAAATAAATATAGTGGGTACATGTCCCCTGAATATGCGATGGAAGGATTGTTTTCAGAGAAATCAGATGTATATAGTTTTGGAGTTTTGCTGTTGGAGATTATTAGTGGAAAAAGAAACACTAGCTTCCGTAATGATGACCAGTCTCTCAGCCTCATAGGATATGTAAGTCTCTTCTTATAACATGTCATATTTCATTATTTCCGTTCATTTTCACACATGTTCTATGCTGATTTTACTTAGGCATGGAATCTATGGAACGAAGACAATATTAAGTCCTTGGTTGATCCAGAGATATCAGGTTCAGGCTCTGAGGATCATATTTTGAGGTGCATCCATATAGCATTTCTATGCGTGCAAGAAGTTGCAAAAACAAGACCAACTATGACTGCTGTACTGTCGATGCTTAATAGTGAGATTTCTCATCTCCCTCCTCCTAGGCAAGTTGGATTTGTTCAGAAGCACAATTCATCAAGTCTAGAGTCTTCTTCTCAGGAAAATCAGTGTAACTCCAACAACCATGTAACTCTTACTGAGATCCAAGGCAGATAACAACATGGAATCATTTTCACAGTAAAAGTTGTTGCCATTTCATATGCTGAAGATATTATTAAATGGATGATTATTCAATTATATTTATCGACTGGCACTTATAGATTAAAAGAAACCCTTCAATATGTTAGAAATGATAACTTTGGGGATTTGATTTTTCTGGACTTCTAATATGACTCTAATTCTTTAATGATGGCATTTGATAAACTGAGTGGCAGTAGTTCTAAGTAAGATACATTAAGAGTATGCATAATTAAATAAATGAAAGGGGGTTGACGAAATCTAGAATAAAAATCACTTTACAATAGAAGCTTTTGGAAAGAATAAATGACAATATATCAAATATGAAATAGTTAAAAAAAGGTAGTCAATATTAAAAAAACCATCCGAGTGTGAAAATTATGGTACTATGAATAGACACAATATTTGGTATTCAAATATATGTCAAATGATAGGCAAGGTGGCTTGTCTTTTAGCCATATTTTTTCTCACTCTTTGGTGTTATTTTTTTCCATTTTCTCTGCTGCCCATTATAAGACTTCTTGTCTATATGATGCTTTTAATATTAGAGCTACTAATTGTACTTCAAATTTGTCTTGAAAGCCTTCACAAGTGTATTTAGAGAAGGCATACAGATACAGGAGATAAAACATGAATTGAATTTGAAAATAGATACTTGCACCTTTTATTTTAATACTAGCATGCTACCTTGCTCTTAAAACTTTTTATTTATTTATTACAATTAGCTTTATCCTTAAAAGATATACGTGTAACGTGCATACATTTTTTAGGTGTCATTAAAATGGACACGTTAAAGACAATAGAATTTGATTGGACATATGCATTATACATGAATGATTATTATACATTTTGGAGCTTAGCCTAGGTAAGCAAAGGAAAGCAGGGTAAACAAGGAAAGCATCAGTTATACCGTGGTGCCTAAGCTCTATCATATTCCATTGGAAAAAAAATCATACAAACTTGGGTGCTAATTTACACCTTGAGTGAGGAAAAGAGAAGCAAAATATGATAATGTGATATAATAAGAACAAAAACATTGAGCAATGATAATAAATAACGAATTGAAATCTTGTTCCATTTCTGATTTCTCTATCTCCTCCATCTCCCTCCCCTTAAAAAATGCACCTCATTTTCTCGAGTTTATCGGATACGTTTCCTATATATCGTTACTCTATTCCATTTTTGTTTCAGGTTTATAAATTAAAAATATGTTTAAAACTATTTATGATTATTATATAAGTTTTTAAAAAGTTTATTTTGACATTTTTTTTAATGTTTTCAGAATTTAAAAAATCTATAAAAAAAAAATACATTTTAATTTCAAACAAATGAAATCTAAAATTCGAATATGTAAAGACATATTACTATTTGCATATCATACTTAATTACATGTTATACATAATGATGTGCTTTAGAATCATTTAATAATTTCTCTTGGGCTAAGTAAAATTAATATATTCGAATTGTCTTGTTTGCTGGACCAATTATTCTAACCTGGTTGTTCGTACAAGGCCTTGCTAATTGCAAATTTGTCAGGAAGATTAAGAACCAAGTCTAAGACATAGATAAGGCCCATATCATTTATTGTGAAGGTAAATGCCACCAACAAAATTATTGGGCTGGTTTATGTATGCTAAGAGACCGAGACCGAGAAAACTTGTTATTGCCGACATAAAAAAGGGAACATGTTTTTTTTTTTTTTTTTTTTTTTTCTT